TATACTTAGAAAAACTGAATTTCCTATTAAGTAGACTCAATCTTAATAAAATTATTATAGTGACAGGCGATTTCAATGTTAAATTTAATACAATGGAGAAAAACACAGTTCTTCTCATCAATACATTTCTATCTTTCGGTTTCAAACAAGTTGTATTTCAGAACACAAGAAAAGACTCCTGCTTAGACAATATTGTTACCAACATTAATACTAATATTATGGCAACTGTAATCGACATCAAGTTATCAGATCATGCCGGTATTCATTTTAATTTTTCTCGCTTCAGTGTCAGTAACAATCATGGCATAATAAACTACAGACCTATTACAAATCAGGGCTTAAGGTTGTTATATAATAAAGTTGAGGAAACCAATTGGAGTTTTGTTAGTGATACATGTATTGATATAGACATAAAGGTTGAACTTTTTCTTAAGGTGTTACTCGATGCGGTTGAGGTCTGTTTACCAATGAAAACTAAAACGCAACATAATTTCAAATCTAGTAATACTGCCTGGTTTACTCAAGAGCTTGTCACTATGAGAGAAAAAATTAAATTTCTTAAGAGACGTGCATTGTCAGCATCCAACCCCATGTCCAGGGAAACCTTCAATTCCTATCGCAATAAGTATCGTCTGGAATTATCTATAGCCAAAAAAAGCGCCAATGACAACTATATAAATACATCTACTAATAAACAAGCAGCAATGTGGAACCTCATAAAAAATAAAAATGACCGCAGTTCACCTGTAAGCGATTAATTAAACGCTAATGAGTTTAATATTTATTTTTCAAATATTGCAGAGCGTTTTTTGAGTGAGCTCCCGCTTCCCAACAAGTTACCTTCCGAGTTTTTGACTGCCCCGAGGTCACAAACGACTTTTAAATTCAGAGAGTTGTCTTTTAATGAAGGAAGGACCATTCTAAATAACTTAAAAGTAAAAAAAAGCAAAGATACTTATGATTTGAATGTTCCAATCTTGGAAACTCTTAAGAACATTATAATTTTTCCACTATTTAAACTAATTAATCAATGTATTAGCTCCAACGTATTTCCTACAGCTTTCAAGTTATCCAAGGTTATTCCTGTTTTTAAGAAAGGTGAGAAAGATGATGTAGGTATCTAACTACCGACCAATATCTCTTATTCCCGTTCTGGCAAAGGTTTTCGAAACTGCCTTAAAAATGCAAATTGCAGAATATTTTGAAAACAATAATTTATTCCATTCTAATCAATACGGTTTTAGGAACAAAAGGTCAACAACTTTAGCTATTAACCAGTTGACTACAATTATTTTAAACAATTTTGAATCGAACAATGTTGTCAGTGGAAATTTTTACGATTTGACTAAGGCATTTGACTGTGTGTCCCACAGAATTCTCTTAAATAAACTAAAATTTTACAATTTTGATGACAATAACGTGTCCCTTATTGAGTCTTATCTATCGAACAGAACTCAGTATGTTTTTTATAATTCTCGTTCGTCCCACCTAACAAAAATTGTTCATGGAGTTCCCCAAGGCTCAGTATTGGGCCTATTCTATTTCTTATCTACATCAATGATTTCCCAAATTGTGATATAACTACTGATTTTATTTTATTTGCCGATTATACTACCGCTTTAAAGTCTAATAACTTAATTAAACTCACAGAGGATTCAGTGGATACGCTGCCGTTGATAAAGGACTGATTTATTGCTAATAGATTGAACTTAAATGTTGACAAAACTCAATCTTTGCTTTTTACACTTCGCCATATCAATACTTGTGATAACTCAAATAGCATTAAATTTCTTGGAGTTCACCTTGACACTAAATTGAGTTGGGAAAAAACATGTCAATGATTTATTCGCACGTTTATCTAAGAATATTTTCCTACTGCGTAATTTGGATCGTGTAGTATCTAAGCCTGTACTCATATCTGCATATTATGGTACTTTTCATTCCACCATGACTTATGCAATTTTGAACTGGGGTCATTCGTCTCACAGTGATCCAATTTTTGGTTTACAACGTAAATGTATTAGAATTATGGCTGGAATAAAATACAGAGATGATTGTCGGGAGCACTTCAAACTGTTAAATATTCTTACAATGCCGTCAGTTTACATATTTGAATGTCTCATTTATATAAAAAATAATCAGAATAGATTTGTTCGACAAGAAAATTTTCATTTTCATCATACTAAGAGAGCGACGCAATATTAGGTCTAAATTTCATAGATTAGCGAAATCCAGAGATGGCACAAATTATTTTTGCATTAAATTCTTTAATAGACTTCCATCTGAGATTCGATGATTAAATTCAGACTGTTTTAAGGCCATAATTAGAAAATATCTTAAGAGGAAAGCGTTTTATAATTTTGATAAGTTCCTTGCTGACAAGTTTTTAGATATTTAATGTATGTTCGTAATATTCACTTTTTTATGCTGTTTACGTTATATTTATCTGAATGTGTTTTTTTGGCTTTAGTGTAGTATCGCTTATATGTTGCATCTTTCGTGTTTTTCTTTCTTTGACTTGTGTAAACATTTTAATGTATTAGACACCAATAAATGATTTGATTTGATTTGAAACTTTGTTTATATCAAAATATGTGCAAATTAGATAGTTGGCATTGCGATATTCGAATACCTTGGTTCGCGAGACATCGGATTAAAAAAAAGATCGAAATTCGTCCATTACAAGCCGAGATAATGGAATTTTTTCAGTCTCGCAGCGAATGCACCCTCCCCCACTATTCGTGTTTTGAGTCACTTTTCGCGCGTGCGAGCGACAACTTCTCCACCGATTTATCTATGTTGCCGATAAACTTTGACCGCTTATATCTCGAGAACCAATAAACGGAATTTAACTTTTTTCTAAAAAAAAGAAACGTCTTTCCAAGTATTTTAAAATTATAATTTTTGAAAAAAACTAAATTGCAAATTGATAAATGTAATCTAATTGTTTAAAAATTAAAAAAAAAAGTGTTAACTTTAAAAATTTACTGTGGCCATTTTAATCAACCGCTTTCAATTTTTCAAAAACCAATTGAAAAGTTGAGCGGTCTTTTCTATGTGAAAAAATGTTCAAGTATCTAGATGCTTCATTTGAGGCTGTGCAACATTTTGAAAATTCGAAATTTTACCTTCAAAATTTTTTCAAAAAATTATTTTTATATTAATGAAATTAATAATTATATTAATGAAATTTAGTGTGTTGTTTTATTATAGTCTAAAGTTTTTTTTACCAAAATTAAAATGCCCTCGCAGCAATTAAAATATTTTTAAAAAAATATCCAAAAAAAAACTTGATTATTTTGCCTTTTTTCATCAATTATTGCTATTTTGCAACATCGGTAATAAACTTAAACATTTTTAACTTACAGTATATTGTGCAGAATTCAATTCTAAAACTTTTTTTCCCTCTCCAATATTCTTCCAAAACGCATATGTTCAAAGATATAAGTAAAAACCTCAGATAAAATAGTTATTTTTAAAATTTTTTTAAACATTTTTTTGCAATTTTGAAAACGTTCCACACCTCGCCGAGATCTATATTGAAGGTAATCCAGCAAAAATTAGCTTGCTCCCTCTTACATCCAAGTGGAATATTTCGACAGATCCGCCCTAGATTATTCTTATGTAAATTAGCAAGTTCTTTTGTTTTACCTCAATATTTTAATACGTAATTTTTTATTTTGTCGTCAGATTCAAGGTATTTTTCAGCTTCAAAATTGTTTATATTCATATTTAATTATTCTGTGAAGTATAGCGTGATTGTAAAAAGCGATAAACTTAATAAATTGTTACTATTAGTTAAAAAAGAATACCAATATCAAAATTGTTGTTATTACAACTACCATATTTTAATAAAAAAACTAAGAAAAGTTTCTAAATTAATAATTTAATAGTTTTAAAAAATTATTAAAACAAAATGAAGGAAAAAGATAAATGATATATCTGTATCAATTTTAAGATATTACATATAAGTGTAGGTATGTAATCAATCAGGTATATTTTAAAAACCTTCATTCAAATTTATGTAAATGTAAATGATGTTTCAAACAACTTATGTACAATGTTTTAACCGGAAAAATTGCTTAATATAAAGTTCAATAGTCATTTCCTGTAACTGTGATATTGCTGACAGAACGTAATCTAATCTCTAATACTGCATCCCTGGCTACATTTTGTTATACTCGTAAATCGCATTATCTCAAGGACAAATAAACACTTGGCTGGCGCATTCCTTGTGAACAGCTAAGGGGTTTGATTCAAAGCAACCATGATAATTTTCATTACAAAATAAAATAATATTGATTCCTATTATTACAATACCAGTGTAAGATATTATCTAAAAATATGCGGGGTGATCCAATAAAAAGTAACTTTAATTAAATTGGTTTTCGAAATATTTGAAAAAAATCGAAATTTTGGAAATTCGTTTTTGTTTCATTTCAGCCTTGTTTAAGGTGATATTGAAAAAAGAACAACACTTTCTCATGGCCACTTTTTGCCCTCTATCGAATGGCATAATCAATTTTTACATGTAACGTTTCGTCTCTCCAGGACCATCATCAACTTCACTTTTTTAAATACGACCCTGAAAATTTTATTACATTTTTTGCAAGCCTCGATGACCCCCAATACTGTACTGCCTCAGCCCGAACCAAATTCAGACGTTTTGTCTCGGAAAAATTCATCTTCAGTGTATTCGTTCTAAACTCATCCAATTTTTTTATTTAGATTTCTTTGTTTATTGAATTATCGTACACTGCGAGTGTCGTTAAACCCTGCGAAATCCATCTAGTATAGTACGTTGTACGGGAAGTCGGCAACTCGACGCTTTTGGGAAGCACCAATGCCCCAACCATCCCGCCAAACTTGACCCCGCGAGCTCGCGGGCGATAAGAGGGAGCTGCGCGCGCAACTCGTTCTTCTGTAAGCACGTATCGCAAAAAAAAGAGTTTGCGGGCCGGTTAAATGATAAGGTCACGCTTATAACTTGTCAGAACGCGTACGCGGAGTGATCGGCGAGGAAGGCAAAGAGGATCGTCCCCACTTAACACCGGCGATAAAAGTTCTATATAACTGTGTTGTGTGTAGTTGTAATTTCATTTAAGTGCGCGAGCCCCCAAACTAGGGTCCATTGCTTTTTTTAGGTAAGTCCCCCAATGCTTTTATTGTTACTGATAATGAGACTGAGAATTTATTAGTAAAGTACTGATTGTGAGTGGATAGGTGCTGTACATTTTTTATATACTTCGGACATTTAGCCATGAAAACTATTCGTTTATTTTTGATTAGTGATAAATATATAATTTATTCTTACGAAAATATACATTTTATTAATAAAACCCTACTGATTATTTCCAGTTCTGTTGTTTTCGCTCACAATCTGGCTTGTAAATTAAACAATTATTTTAATACTTACATTTTCTACATCCTCAACTTACACGAGATTTTTCCACTGAAGTATGCAGGTTCAATAATTTTTATCTTGCAATCTTGCAATTGTTCGAGTTCAACGTCTTTTGCTGTACGTCAATTTTGATGATTAATTAAAAACAAGCCGATTGAATTGTACATGTTCTTTTGTTCTGTGTATTTAATTTAAAACTTAATTATTTCTCTGATTATGACAATTAGACCGATCAAAATAACTTACTTAGAGGGAAAAAAAAAAGAAAATTGTTACCTGGACTTTTATAAGTGGAAATGGTAAAGGGGCTTATGATAAACAAAAAAAAAATAAATGCGTGAGCAGGGGCGGCGGTGGGTTGATTTGGTGGGTTGAAAAGTTACGAAAAATTGTATCATTGGGATTTCTGGCGAAAGTTGACGTCAAACAAAAAAGTATCCATTGCAAAAGTTGTAGATCATGCAAAAATCTACAACTTTTGTAGAGGTCACTTTTTAACATAACCTCAAAATTTCCGAGAAAAATACGAAAAACAGGTTTTTTTCAGATTTTTCGTTTTTTATTTCTGATTTCCGCAAAAATAATTTACTTTTAACGAAACTTGGTGAAAATATACCTTTCTCTGTCTTAAATAACCTAAATTTTTTTAAATAAAAAAATCCAGGAATTTCTGAGATATTCATTTTTTTCTTCCTGAAACACTTTTTTTTCAAAGAAAAATTCTACTTAAAAAAAATCATGGTACAGAATTCTGCCGGTAATAATTTTTTTCGTTTTTTTCGGATTTATTTCGCGTCAACAGTAGACTGCAGTTAATACTTTGTATTGCTGAAATCTCAAATCGTCCAGAGATAATTTATCATTTGTGCATTTGTAATTAATTCGACTTAGATGTTTATAGCAATACCGTACAAAAATAAAGTTTTGGGTCAAACAATGAGACAGTTTTTTTTTTATTTTTTTCCGTAGAATTGAATGGTGTAATCAGTTTTTGAATGTTTTTTAATTTAAACAAATTATCAACAACAACTGAAAAATTCATTGTTGCCTGTAATTTTTTATTTTTTGCATGTTTTTGAACTGTTATTACAGATTTTTTTATTTCACCAAAAAGTATATGTCAAATCGAAAAAAATAATTACCGACAGAACTCTGTACGATGATTTTTATAAGTAAAATTTTTCTTTGAAAAAAGAGCGTTTCAGGCCGAAAAAAATGAATATCTCAGAAACTTCTTGATTTTTTTAACTAAAAAAAATTGGGGTTATTTAAGACAGAGAAAGGTATACTTTCACCAAGTTTCGTCAAAATTAAATTATTTTAGCGGAAATGAGGAATAAAAAACGAAAAATCAGAAAAAACCTGTTTTTCGCATTTTCCTCGGAAATTTTGAGGTTATGTTAAAAAGTGAGCTCTACAAAAGTTGTAGATTTTTGCATGATCTACAACTTTAGTATTGGATAATTTTTTGTTTGACGTCAACTTTCGCCAGAAATCCCAATGATACAATTTTTCATAACTTTTCAACCGTCCAAATCAACCCTCCGCCGCCCCTGCTCACGCATTTATTTTTTTTTAGATTTTTTATAAGCCCTTTTACCATTCCCACGTATAAGTCCAGGTAACAATTTTTTTTCTCCAAGTGTAATTTGGTTGGACTAAATATACGAAGGGTTTTATTAAAGTTTTGTAAATTGAATTATGTCCTTTGTACAATTTGACTTAATGTCACACGACCGCAGTTTTGCCGGGGAAAAATCTGATGTGTGTAGATTCTTGAGCTAATACGGAAAAAGTTACTTTAGGAGACTGTGTTTAAATTTTAATGCTATAAAGTTTCAAGACCAGTCAAATTGTCAAAAATACGTTGTTGTTTTGCTAAAATTTGGTTCAGTAAACAAAGACACGTAAAAATTAGGAAAAATTTCGTAGGATTGAATGAACTGCTTTACCTCAGCTGAATGTTAGGGCTTCATTTTCAAAATGGCGTCCAAACTTCGTAAAAAATTTTTTTTTTTTCATTAAAAACAAAAACTAAACATTGGTTTTCGAAAACAATGTTTTAGACAAAAGTTGTAGAACTTTTTATAACAAAAATTTTGAGCCCTGCCCAATATCAATTGATAAACAAATGTGTTAGTTATTGCAAAAAAACGGCTAATTACATTTTTTAAAAACTTCTATATCTTTAAAACGAAAATTGATTTTTTTACGATACTTTCAAAATATGCAGTCCTTGCCAAGTAGAATAAGTGCATTTTGTAAAATTGCAAAATATACGATAATATTTTAAAAAATTGAGTTTTTCGAATACATTTTTTTCAAGTTTCAATAAATCATACAGTAATGCACTTACGTGACCCATCTTGGTCTTAAAATTTTCTGTAAGTTATGCTTTCCTGTGCAAATTGTGCACATATTGCAAAATAATTGTAAATATGCGAAAAATCTACCGAAACTTTGACTTCTCTTTCTTCGGGTCGGAAAATGTAGATATTTTTCTTATCGTTGAAATTTAATCGGAATGGCATGGTAAAGTTTTTTAAAATTTAACAAGAGTAAAAAAATGTTTAAAATTAAATTCTGCTGTGAATTAATACTATTATTTTTCAATTCGGTCGATGGAAAAAAAGTCATCCCCAATGAACACCTTGTAGTGCTTCAATTAACTTTAAATCATAGTCAAAGAAGACCAGTAATAAACCTAAATCACTTACCGAATTTGGTTCTTCTGCGGTAAAGTGTTGCAAAGATATTAATTTTTTTCGAAATTTAGGGCCCCACTTTGGGGGTTAATAAGTCCTCAGGGGTGCATCTTTGTATATAGGTAAGTTTGGTTAAATTACAATATTTTGGAGACCCCTAGATTCACCTGCCCTGTGTCGGTTCTTATGCGGGACACCCTGTATAATAACCTTGAAAGCTGGCAGCACTGGCCAAGAAATGAGAAAAGCACCTAGCAACAACTGCAAAACATATGGGTGTGGTGTAACAAAACAAAAATTAATCGACAAACTTCGCGAGTTGTTACTTTGTAGCTTTGTAGAATATTTATTCGTTAAAGAGACAGAGGGCGCTCAAGTTGAAAAAAAAATTTAAATTCAAAATATTCCTAAGCGCTTTTTTTAAACGTTTTTGTTACACTGTTTTTATCATTCACGATTCATAATATGCAATACTCAGTGTCAAGTGGTGGAGATGTAATATTTATTAATGATTTATGTGGCTAAATTACCAGCAAAATAATATTTTTAAATTGTTATTATACACTAGTCGGTATCTGCTTTGGTTTGGGTGAATCGTATATCCACGGAGATTTTTGGCTTTCTGGCGTCAAATATCACTAGAAATGAAAATTTTTCTATGCGCATAAAAAAAACGTGGGCTTAACTTTTGGCGGCACAATATGTTTAAAAAAATCGAAAAATGTCATATTTTTCTTCCTATCTAATTATGTATCTTTTCAAGAGTTGATTCTAGGCGAAAATAGAAGAGGCAAAAAATGTTTGTAATTAAATTTTTTACAAAACATGACTAGTTACAAATCGACTGAATCATGATTATTGTAAAAATCGAAAAAATCGCAAAAATGGGGTTAAAAAACATTACTCTTTAGGGAATTTTTTGGGGTCTTTAAGTTGGGTATAGGACCTTCATACTTGGCTCAAGAAAAGTTCATGTTATGTAGAATCATCACACCAAATTTCATCAAAATCGGTTCGACAGATTTTGCATAATAATTTTGCAATCCAAATTTTGAAAAAAAATTTGCAAATTTTCAAAATTTTGCAAATAACTGAATATTCACTCAAATCAAATTTTTTAATGTATTTTTTAAAAATTATTGGAAACGCACTTCTTAAAAAAAAAACAGATCGATTGGTCAATTAGTTACGTAGTTATAGCCGACGAAAGTTAACCGTCATTTACACTAAATGTACCGGGCTAATTTTTCGAAAAATACCTTTGGTATTCCGAGTACTTACCAGGTCTAAGTTTGTAATACTTTTCCTCATTGATAACCTACTTTATAGCGCTTTTAAAGTTATTTATGCAAGCGAGAAGAAAATTCAAGAAAATCGTACGGATGGTGGTGGTGGGGGAAGCAGAGAGCGCGGCCGCTTCGGCCTGCTTGAAATTGAATCGGCAAGTTCAAAACGGCGACGCGCTTAAAAATTTTTAATATCTCAGCTTCTAGAGGTCCGATTTTGATAATATTTTTTTAAATTGATGTCTCGCGATTAAAAAAAAACAATTAGCGTATTTTAAAATGCCTATCGTTAATAATTATTGGTCTTTCAACAGTTCGATTATTATTTATCTTTAAACTTCCTTTAATTATCAACTTTATTTTTTATTGTATCAAAAGTAACTGCATAAACTTATATACTGTTTATCAAAGATCAAAAACAAATTCATTTAAATATTTTAAAATTGTTTTCAAAATATGTCGCAAATTAGTAAATTAATTAATTAATTAATTATTAATTTAATCATCATTTCTTTTGTGATTAAAGTATAATTCAAATATTATTTACTATTACAAGCAAATGATAAATTAACTCATTATATTACAAAAATACAAAATTATAATACAAAAATTCGATCAATGTTTAAACAAGCACCAAAGCTCTCCTAATTGATAGATTCGAAATTTTCAAAAAGCGTTTGGAAGCTTGAGAGTCGTTCTATAAGTGATTAATTTTTCAAGTATCTAAGGGCCTTGGTTTTAGCTGTGCAAAATTTAAAAAATTTGCAAATTTTTTTTTTTTCAAAATCTGGATTGCAAAATTATTATGTAAAATCTATCGAACCGATTTTGATGAAATTTGGTGTGATGATTCTACATAACATGAAGTTTTCTTGAGCCAAGTTTGAAGGTCCTGTACCCAATTTAGACACCCCAAATAAATTCCCAAAAAAGTAATGTTTCTTAATCCCATTTTTGTAGATTTTTTCGATGTTTACAATAATAATCATGATTCATTCGATTTATAACTAGTCATATTTTGTAAAATTTAATTACAAACATTTTTTTCCTCTTCCATTTTGGTCTAAAATAAACTCCTGAAAAGATACATAATTAAATAGGAAGAAAAATATGACATTTTTCGAATTTTTTTAACATATTGTGCCACCAAAAGTAAAGCCCACGATTTTTTATGCGCATAGAAAAAAAAAATTAATTTCTAGTGATATTTGAAAGCCAAAAATCTCCGTGGATATACGATTCACCCCAATAAGGACTCTTTGAAACAGATACCGTCTAGACTATTAATCAAATATTACCTATAACATTTTCAAAACACTTTTTGTTTTAACATTGTAGTTATGGAATCAGCTTTCTGGAAACATTAACAGTTGGTTCATATTTTCTAAACATTTATTTAAATATTTTCAAATATTTTTTTCCGGGTGACAAAATATTCGATTAATTAAAAAAGGCCCAAAAGCAATATCCTGTTTTACCCTGTCTCATCTGTGTAGAACTGATTATTATTTTAATTATTTTCAGCATGAATATAGGACCCTCCACGAGCTTGCCACGCGGCAAGTTTGAAAAGGGCGGGAACGCAGAAACTAAGGGTAAGATATTTCAAATTAATTTGATCACCTTCTGTCTCTTAAAGGCTTTCGAGAAGTTGAAAAACTGGAGGCTATCGCCAGAAAACCAGCTAGCTGGAAAATTCGACGATGTAGTCTTAGAATGTAGCGAAGGGGCCGTTTTAATACAAACAAAATATAAAAAAAATAAGAAAGTCACCTTTGAAGAACTGCTTGCTACCAACTCCAAAGACAACAACTTTAGTCTGGCCAAGTATTTTCTGTCATATCAAAAAGACAAGTCTAACTTTCGAGTAAAGAATGCTATCATATGTACCAACGCTTCTATCGTGGTAGATGGAGACAACCAGAAATTTTTAAACAGACAAATTGCCACTTCCGAGAGCATATTATACTGCCCAGGGCACGTCTGTTGGTTTTACACGTTCAATGAAACGATTGTACCCGTTTTAAAAAAACGAATAAAAGAGACCAAGAACATCGACGAAGGAATAGCCACAGACGACAATATTAGAGATTTTCTGGAGCACTTCCAGTTTTACTACGATTATCCCTGCGGGACAGACCTGAGAAGCGCCACGGAACTGTTGTTGTCCTACGTAAGACTGTCAAAGAACGTTTTTAATAAAACCACCCTGCAAGATATACATTTTAAAGTGAAAGAATGGTTTGAACGTCCGAGAGGCCCATGCGAATACTTAACGGAAGACGGAGTAAAGGCGATGTTTTCAGAAAATAACGCTTTAACCGTTCCGCAGCCTGACACGTTTCAAAAGACTGGAGACGCTGGGATGAAGAGCACGACGTTTCACATCCAAATAATCACCCTGTGCTTTTTAAACGCGTTGGGGAAATTCAAAGATTGGAAGCTATCGTTCAAGAATAGGCGAATGGGAAAATTTGATGATATCGTCTTGGAACGGCCAGACGAAGTCCTTTCGATACAGACCAAATATAAAGAGGGTAAAATTTCATACAGCGAACTCCTCTCTACCAGCTCGAAAAATAACTTTTCTTTGGTCAAGTATTTTCTACAGTATCGAGAAATTAAGGCGGAGTACCGAGTGGCAAACGTTATCATATGCAGCAATGCCGCTATCAGGGCCGATAATGACACACAAAAGTATTTAAAAAGACAAAAAGCCACTCGTGGGAGTTTATTATATTTGCAAGGACCCGACTCATTTTTTTACACGTTCGACGAGACGTTTATACCTATTTTGAAGGAACGCTTAGAGAATCACCTGGAAACAGTCAAGGAAGAGGAAATAAGAGATTTTTTGGAACACTTACGACTTTATTGCGATTATCCTATGGACCTAAAAAACAACATGGAAGAGGAGTCGCTGCGTGGTTTCAGGCGGTACGGTAATATTTTCCACAACGTAACCCTCCAAGATATAATTTTTAAAGTGGGGGAATGGTTCGAGCACCCGCAGGGAGAGTGTGAATACTTAACGGAAAGCCTAGCCAAGACGATGATGTCAGAAATAAGGAGCCGCAAATACAGCGAAGAGTTAGACCAATACAAAGTGCTGTTCGACAGTAATAAAGTGGCGTTCGACGATACGAAGACAATATTTTACCTGGCTACCGGAAAGGAGTACTTGTTACACGTAGTAAAGATTTTTCGTGCCCTCCAACATAACGGAATAAAGGCTCTGTACGTCGATCCCAATGAGGACCTAGATGTTAAGATGCAAGTAATAGAGGCGTTCGATCGTCCTTGTCACGAAATTTTAGTAATTACTAGGCCAGAGCTGCCTCCGTTTGATGTAATCATGGAAGTATACGCGAAGATAAGAGGAACTTTGGAGAAGTACGCATACAAAAAAATCCTGCTTGTAGCCAAATATGACGATAAGTTAATTCCACGACTTGGAATCGAAAATATTTCTCAGACTATTAAAGGATGGGTCACTTTCGACGACTTCCTATCAGAGACACAAACAAACTTATTAAAAAAACAGATCGTTTTCAACGAGAACATCACCAGTTTAGAAGATACAAAAATGGGTAATTGCTTGGTCCAAATTCCTAGCATTCTGGATAAGATTGTTAGGGACGAACGAGTAATCGTTAAGCTTTGTGTACGTACGTTGAAAATCAAAGGGATCGAACAAAAAATTATACTATTGAATATAAATGATTCCGAATGGAAAACTATCCCAGTTGACCCGACAAGAGAGAGTCGGGTGCTGGAAATCGAAAAATAATAATCCTGTTTGGCCACTACGGCCGAAACGTAGGCAGCTAAATATTCTTAGATGAGCAAGGTGTAGAATTTTTTTGCAAATACTGTAAACGTAGTATCGCCCTTAGCTTCTAGGAATTCCAACATTGCCTACACTATTCGACTTCTGAAGAGTGATTTGCCGATACCAGCAGATCGCCTCCAGAACATTGGTGCGAATATTAATATTAGAAACATAGCCGGAGACATATGGCATGCAACCTACAGGGCATTTCCACAAGACATTACTCCAAGAAGGATTTCATAGGAATTGCTTCCTCGAGGAATTATTGAACATCGCAGATCTTATAATATCACCGTTTCTGTACAGATTTCATTGAGACGCCCTGTATAGTGTCACGCAGTCGCTTCGGTAGTAAGTATAAATTCCCTGCGAGGATCTTCGTATTTTCGGATAGAGTTCAGGGAACTTTAGATTATGTTAGAATTGTATTTTTTTTAAGTAACCTTGTTAGATTAGTTGTGTATTTAGGTCTTTTAAATAGAGGTTTAAAGTAATTAATTTTTGCATACTTTGCACACATACCTACCTATAATTGTTAGATTTAGTCTCATTAAAACACTGCCTAAATAGATACTTCTTGAATTTTCTTAACAGTATCCAGTATCACACTTACATTATAAACGACGCCATATGCAATATCAGAGCTGTAACACAATACTTAAAGAATTTCAGGAACACCTTTTTATTTATTTATTTTTTTAGAATGTTATATTTTTCTTAAAATGTCTAAAATTTGTTAAAATACATATTTGAAAACCGTAAATGAACACGTAATTATTATTATTATAAAACTTTTTTTGTTTCATGTATAAACTTTGCCTCCTTGAGAATGCGATCGTCTTGGAAGAATTTATCCCAACCTACATCCTGGACGGAGGAACACCGTAATGAAGACGAGGCCTGCCCGAAGATTAAAATTTCTGCAAGGTAGGACGAAAGGACGTCCCCCTAACTAATGAGGTTTTCCAGGTTTTCCTCATTCCTGCACCGAATGGTGGTTGGGGTTTACCAATTAAGACGCTCCTGGGCGCACAAGCGGCATATGGAGTAATGGTATGCCGTCCCCTCTCCCGCACTGGGCTAGTTGAAATATTAGAATGAGGGGCAGAAACGTTTATACGTTTTGTTACATAGCTTGCAATGTTACCGCAAACTGAGTGTATAAATAAATATGTTGTTATTACACATTGTTTTTTTTTATTTTAATTTGTGAATAAATAAGTCGGAAACTTGGAAAATAATTTAAAGTAGGCTTTGAAAACTGAAAATAAATTCAAATCGTATATGATTTAATAAGACTTTTTTCAAAATGAACTCTTGTGAAAACTATTATTCCATGATGAAAACGACCCTTGAAAATGAATGAAAATGACGTTGAAATTAGTAAATATAAAAGCTACGGCGTTTTTAAAACAAAAATGAAATCATATATCAAAAAAGTCCAAAACTCTTCCACAGGAAGAAATACGTTTTTACTAAACTTTTGTTAACTTTTCAAAAATAATTTGTGGTCCAGTCCCTCTGAAGGCGAAAATAAGGTAAAAGCTCCCAATTTTTTCGGATAGCATGGATTTTCTTAAAAATTTACATACAAGCTCATCTTCGACACCCCACTTCAAAAGTTATATTGTCTAGATGTGTGCTTTTTTCCATTTGGGGGTGAAAATTACCCCTTTTCCGAAAAATATGCGAAAATCGCAGATTTTCGTATTTTAAAGATTCAACTCATGTTCGAATATGTTGGATAAAGTTCGTTTCATGTTTTTTAATATAATTTATGAAATTTAATTACTTTTGAACCCTTAATAATCCTTAAAAACTGTTCCATGGACAAAAAAATAGGAAAAAATTTTTTAACAGTTTAAAATATTCTTTTGATGCATTCACGATGTTTCGTTTGTTATTTATTAGAAAGCTTACGAGCCATTACAAAGTTGCAACCCTTAAAAATCACCCTTTATAATAAAATAAACAAAAAAATATTATTGAAAGCTTGAGATGTTTTAATGGTATGCATATGTTGAATTATAAACTTTTTATTGGTTTCCAAATGATTTATGATATAGTGCAACTTTTCAGCCAACCAAAAAACCCTTATGGAAGACCTACCCCTCATAAGAAAACCTTATAGAAAAATTTCCTAAAAATTGTATGTATGACATAATTTTTTTTAATTTTATTGAAATTATTCTTAATATTTTTTTTATTAAATTAATATCAAATATGCATACAGGGTGAGTCAGTTTTTTGTAGTAGGATTTTAACAGTTGATAGAGAATCATTTTTTAATAAGAAAAGTTCCTATAAACATAGGTCTTAGAACGCTTCGTTTGTGAGATATAGGGTGTTAAAAACAAACTTTTTTAAGAATTTTTCTTAATATCTAAAAGACCAACATATATTGAACTGAAATTTGGTATTAATAACACATTAGTTATGGTGAATAAAACAAAGATATCTGTTAGCCATTTCACACACCGTAGTGACGTGCCTGAGGTGGGTTACTGCCCTCTTTAAAAAAATAATTCGTACGCCCGTGGATTTATCTTGAAAAAAACATCATTTCTAAATTTTTTAATCAATTCTGAACAAAACAGCTCTCTTCCAATTTTTTATGAAATGAACGGTTTTTTGTTAAATTCATTTGGCATGAAACTGTTCCAACGATATTGGTACCTAATACATTTGTGAATTAATAAGAAAAATATGATGTGCACTGAAAATCAATAAAAACGATTGAATGAATAATAACAGTTGATTGAGAAAAATTTTTTAATAAGATAAGTTCCTATAAACATAGATCTTAAAACGCTTCGTTTGTGAGATACTATAGGGATAGGGTGTAGAAAACAAACATTTTTAAGTATTTTTATTAATATCTCTAAAAGACCAAAAGTATACACGTGAACTCAGATACGTGTGTGTGTGAAAAGGATGGACAACGCTTGACCACAGGTTCCTCAGATGAAAATAGGGTTATTTAGCCTAACTTACCTATATACAAAAGTGCACGCCTACTGAGATATAGCCTTCTAAATATACAGGGTCGGAAAGTCCCCATGGTTCATCGGCCGCTACTTGAGAGCGATAAAGAAAGTCATAGAAATCCATGCGATAGAGAAAGATGGCTATAATCAAGGCGTCTAATAGTCACTGGCCATTTCGCCCTTCCACAAATAAGAAGCGGATCTTATTCACCAAGTGCTCCAAAATACACAAAGATGATGATCCGAAAATTTTACCGAAAAAATGCGATTAATTTTTTTACCATAACTTTTGTAATTATTTGTTATAAATTTACTCAAAAAATCATTTTGCAGGAAATTTAAAGCACTTTAAGTTCTGTGATTTGCAGTTTTTTGAGCCCTTCGTTTTTTAGATTTGTAAGCTAAATAGGCTCAGGAAAGGCAGTCTTGGAGCTTAGTTTTGAACTTCTAACGGTCATAATTCAGTCAAATTTTGTCCTACAAAAATATTAAAAAAGCAAATTGTTCAGTAAGAGAAAACCTACAATTTCTTATTATATAATTTTTTTATAACTTTGTTAGTTTTTGAAATATTTTGAAAAAAGGCGATTTTTTTTAAAATTCAAAAATTGTATTCAAAAATGAAATATTTTTTAAAATTTAGGCTTCTAAAATCGTTCAAAATCCCAGAATCTACTGTTAATACTAAATAAAGTAAATTGCAAAAGAAATAGGTACGTTTAATTTTTTTCCGTCAAGTCATTAATTTTAATACTGATTTTTTTTCTCAAAAATCAAGACAATCATTTTATTTTGATTGTAACTTCATTAGTTTTCATGCTACCAACTTCTACCATCACTCAATTTAAAGGTCTTTTCAAGAACTTTAATAGGTGTTATATAAGTTTTCTTCGAAAAACCTTTAATTTTTCCGCTACAGGACGTTGAACGTTTCGATTATAGCTATCTTCGAAATTGACTTCAACTTCTGGGAGTCATGACTCGGGTTCTATACCACCTACAAATTTTAAAAAGCAATCTCTTTGTTTTAATTACCTTAATTTTTGCTTATAATTTTTTTGATAAAACTTGTAGTTTTTGAAATATTCGCGAAAAATGGCTCAAAAACATGTGTTTTTTGGGCTAAAAACGAACATGTTTAGGCGCAAATAACTCAAAAAGTATTGCCTGTACAAGAAATTGTTATAGAACATTTTTTGATTAGAATTCGACCCTCTATCGAATCGTGAGGTTATTTTTAATAAAAAAATTCCCACCCTCCAGAAGGGGTGGCATTCACCCCTAGGGTAAAACCACACATCGGCACTATATAAACTTTTGTTTCTTGGACTATTCCCTAGCTATACAGTTCAAATTTCACGTCAATCCATTCCATCCGAAAAAATTGGTACCTAACCAAAATGGTTCAGTGACTGGACTATTGATACAAATGTAGTAATTGTTTCAGACTTGTGTCGTGTTTGGCATTCTGGGGCTTTACTTAATAAAGAACTTTTGAATTTAAAAGTAAGTGACTTATTATAGAGCACAAAAGAAACAATTCTGGTCGTTCATGTGACTAAAAACAAAGACCAAAGGCCTCGAATATTTGCCATCATTTCAGAGTTTGAAGGATAAGTAAAATCTATAGAATTATTTAAACAGAAACCCCCAAAATTTCGGTACACTGGGTATTTTCAAAATGTAATTGCTGCGATTTTTGTAAATTATTTCGTTTAACTGGAAAATCAAACTCTAAAACGACTCGTTTCAGGAAAAAACTATAGTAATTTTTTGTTTAGTAAGTTTCAGCTTAAATTTCATATTTTAGATATTTTTCAAGAAATTTGATTCACCGGGAGGAAGAATATTATACAGAATTATTTGAAATTTGAAATAAATTACCCAAAATCAACGGGTTGATCACTTCTAATAAATAGAAATTTCTAACCTAAACTTCTATTTCTACATTTTTGAGTTTAGTTTTTAGTTGTTGACAATGGATCAGCAGAGACAAATAATACTAATGCTAGCCATAAATTATACTCTGAATCATATAGAAATGAAGAAAGCAGTATTTCTTAACCTTACTTTATTCAATTGTTCAAATCCACCAATCAAATTCATTAAAACCATGTCTGGTGAAATTTAAATGTGCATCCAAAAGTAGCATGGCTTTGGATAAATAAAGTGAGATTGCAACGAGAACTACTAGTCTTGTAACTTCTTTCTTCTTCTGTTTCCGGCACAATTAGCGCTAAATTCGAATTTGAATTTAGTTACTGCAATACAAAAAATTACAGAAAGGCACTATCAACTAAAAATGATATAAGTCGTTGATCATAATCGTAATCTTTTTTTTAACGAAATGTTGGTTGCCTAACAACTGGAGAAGGTTCCAGCAATAGTTCAGTAATTTGTGGTTCCAGCTTCCAGCATGCTTCCAGCTTACATTTACAAAATGGAAACTTGACACAACTTTTAACTTTTTTTATAAAAACGGTGTATAGACTTATATTTTTTACTAGTCTAGTTCACCAAGCTACATTTTTACGATTTAAAAAATTGATGTGACGTTAAATCGTTATTTGAATAATCTCTAGTGAGTGAGTCACTGATAAGTGATGATTAATAAAACCAAATACGTGTAAGATTGTTACTAACTCTAGTTCTAACAGAAAAGTAACGATGAGTTATTAAGGAAACTGTTCAATTATTTTTTTTAACAAACCTTCCAATGTTAGTATGATTTAACGTAGCCAATAAATTAAGATTTCAAATATGACTTGCACCACCCTACGGAAACAACAGAAGTATGTATAAAACCAATTTATTTACTATACGTGTAGGTAACAGCAAAATAATTTTTAGGTTGTCAACTTAGTGAAGGACATGGAGAGATATCAGAAATTGGGGTCGGCGGGAAGCAAGGGGGTAAAATTCCAAGTGCAGGTGATGACGGTGCTACTCGTAAACGCCCTTAAGAACCTCGACAGTTTCAAGCTCTCCTCTGAGAACAAGCAGGCGGGAAAATTCGACGACGTGGTGCTCCAATCGGCAGGCGGCACCATTCTATTACAAGCCAAACATAAGGAGAGGAGGCCAGTCACGTTCGACAATCTGTTTTCCTCGAACTTCAAAAATGACTTCAGCTTAGTGAAGTATTTCCTGTCGTATCTAGAAATTAAACATAACTTCCCAGTGTCGAAGGTTATTATATGCACTAATGCCAGTGTTAGACTGGGTACGGGAGAACGAGAGCTTTTAAGTAGACATCGGGTTGATCCCGACAGCCTGCTGTACTGCCAAGGCCACAATTGCGAGTTTTATACGTTTAACGATGAAGTTGTGCCTCTCTTGGAGGAAAGCCTAAGGAGAGGCGACACGGATATCGTGACGTTTACCGAAAGAGATATAGAAGACTTCCTGGATAATCTACAGCTTTACAGCGATTATCCCAACGGGGAAAACTTGGAGAAAGTAATCGAACAGGTTCTGCTCACCATGAAATTCTCAAATAATATCTTCTCCAAGATCTCGTCCCAAGATATATTAAATAAAATGGTCCGCTGGTACGAACAGACTAAAGGCGAATACATAACAGAAACCCGCGTGAAGACAATGTTCTGTGAAATAAGGAGCGACAAGTATTGCGAAGTTTTGGACCACTACGCCGTGCTTTTCGACGACAACGAATCCCCTTTCGAAGACTCGAAAACTTTGTTCCACATCATCGTCAAGGGGGGATTTTTGTTGCAAGTAATACGAATCTTTCGCGTCCTACAGGTCAGTAAGGCGAAGGCGCTTTATATAAACCCCGACGACGATGTGGATATGAAGAAACAAGCGATTGATTCGTTCGAGTTGCCTTCTTACGTTTTTTTAGTTGTAATTTGTCCCGAACCGTTATTAAGAGAGAAATACACTAAGTTAAGAGAGATTTTAACGATGTATAAACACAAAAAGATCATTTTGGTGAGTGAACGGGACGATAATTTGACCCGGGAGATAGAACCAAATGATCGTGTAACGTTCGAGGGACCTGTGAAGTTCGTAGATCTCACGGAAGACACCCGAGAGAGGATGTTAAATAAGGAAGTCGTGCTTTTTCAAGGAAATAAAATTAGTTTGAAAGAACTGTTGGGAACGCAAGCTGCCGACGGTTATGGAAGAGCTGTGGATTCAGAAATACTAGAAAAGTTGGTGAAAAGCGTGGAAATTAACGTGGGATCCGCCGTACAACCCTTGAATAAAGAAATCGAGTGTTATTATATACCTCGCAAGTTTACAAGGGAAATCGAGGACGAAGAACGCGACGAGACGATAGAAGAGTCGTACACAGAAGAAAATATATACGAAGTCAACGACAAGTTCGTAATAATTGAAAACAGGGGTGGGATGGGGAAAAGCACGGTACTGACCAACTTGGCGGCGGTGATAAAGAGAAAATACCCCCACCTCTGGGTTATCCGCATAGAATTCAACAAATATAAAGACATTTTTAAGGAGTTTCAGAAAAAAGAAAGAGACGTGATAAGCGTGACGGATCTGTTGGATTCCAACGAAGCGACGAGACTGGAAACGGAGTTGGAACGGTTCGTGTTTTCCCTGGATAGAAAAGTGGTGTTGATCCTGGACGCAGTGGACGAGATCAGCGAAGACGTCAATCCCTACCTAGACCTTATCCTTCACTTGTTCGAACAGTGCCAGGACGCATCGAACATCGCGAAGGTGTTCCTAGCCAGCAGAGAACACGCGATTCAGGCACTGATAGAAGAACTGCGTGTCGTACCTTTTAAATTGTCACCATTCGTTGAGCGAGACTATCTCGATTTCTTCGTGAGGTTTTGGACTTCCAAGCTGTCTTTAGCGGGGCCTGACGTGGGCAAGTGCAGGATTTACGCCGACATTGTAGTGAAGAGAATGGGATTGTGGATAAATCCCGAGTTTACCACCGGAGATCGTTTGGTGGTCATACCGTTGCAGCTGAAAATGCTGGCGGAGATATTTCAAGAGAGCAGTCGATTTGCGGTGTCCGACGATTGGGACGGATGTAAAGAGTTCTTGAGTTCGGATAAGGCGAGGCCGAAACTGCCCAAGAAGGTGAACATAGCAAAGCTCTTCAAGATGCTTATTGACAAGAAAGAGGACGGAATCATTGATGAGGGACAGTCGAGGGACCCGGAAGCTGATGATCAAATGTCTTTAAGAAAATATAACGAATGTCTAGCGTATCGGAAGATGCTTTAGGGATAATTTTTTGATGGTTTGGAACGACAGGCGTTAACCAGTTCGTTAAAAAATGTGTCTTATTTTCGATTTTATTGTATTTGAAGATTTCGTTATACTTTTTACAAGATTCTATAAAATTCAATATTTCTGCTCCAAAATAAATTACTTTTTAAATAATGTATTTATTTTAAAAAAAATTAATTCTAAAACAAATACAAAAATTTTAAGAGGCAACATTTTTTTGCAAATCCTTCAATACCTACTCTCTAGCGGCTAAACGAAGCCACTTAGGATGAAGGCTTTAGTTAAATCTACTTATTTTGATTGCAGGAACCTGTGGTAACTCCTACATACACGGAACATCGGAACACTGTATAGAGGCTGTTCCAAAGCCACCTTGTCAGGAAATATGTACAATGTTTTTTTGTCTCTTGAATAATTTAAATCAATGTTAAAAAGTTTAGGAGATATTTAGAATTCGAGAAGTCAAAAACGGCAAACATGAAAATGCATGAGTTTTTCTAAAAATTACATTATTTCTAATTAAATTTCGCCCTTTTGCAAAATTTGTAACTTATTAAACTTTATTTTACAATTTAAACACCCTCAAAAGGTTGTTGAAATCTAGAAAGTAGAGATATGAGAGATAAAAATATGTCGATTGACCCGAATAAGATATTTGGTGTCAAAGTCCCAATTTTATTTACAATTTATTCTTTATTGCTGGAGGATTTTTTTAGATTTTGGCTAAAATTCGGTGTATGGCGAAATGTAGGTAAAAAAATAAGCTTATATTCGAATGTGGCAAACATAAAATGTGCCACATTTTATTCAAATTTTTTAAACAGTAAAAGCGTTCTCTAGAAGGCTTGAAAAATTTTTAAGGCACCAAAATTTAACTAAGGTAACTCGATTTAAATTAGTTTTTTATGCGGGCAAGTCACCAAACACCCTATATATTAAATCTTCCAAAAAATAAGCATAATAAAAGGCCAAGTTCCACCTTTCCACAATTTGCTACTTAAAATTTGCTGGAATCATATGCTTACTTTATTAATTGGGATTTTCACTTGAACTAATTTTGGCAAAGATCCGAATTTAAAAATTTTTCAAATAACTATACTTTTCCGAACGAAAACGAATTCTATTCGGGTGAAAGAGTGACCGCAAAATCCGCCTATTTTTGAAACTTTGACAGAGGCGACAGGAAAAATCCTAAAAATATTATAAAAATATCCAAAAACTCGTCATGAAAAATGAAACTGAGCATCACTTTCAGTGTGGACTGTGATAAGTGGAGATAAAAATGAGATTGAATTTGAGAACACAGAACATGATGAGAATGAATGGCAGAGCCACCAGGGTTGCCACTGTTTCCAAACAAATTTTTATCTATTATCGCCAGTAGATGGAAATATAGTAGCCAAAAAGTCGCTGATTGTTTGAAATAAAAGTTGACGTTAACAAATTCTGAAAGAATATCTAAAAATTGTACAAAAAACTATCATCTAAATACAAATATTGGACTGCAAAGAAAATATTTTTGAACCCAAATACGAAACAGAAATTTAATATTTATTTTTAACTTTAAACGCTTTATGCGTATAATTATTGCCATCGTATAAAGCATCGTATTAGCCATAAATCAAACAGCCAGTCGCCACAATTATTTAAAAAAATCGCCAGTCGCCATTTGAAACTTCTGGCAGCCATTCGAGTATGTCGTGTCGCTACAATGGTGATAAACTGCCAAATCTGGCAACTCTGGCAGCAGTCCGGACGCAGAGGTTAGGTTAGTAGCGTCTTATAAATTTACATTTTGCGGTATTTGATAATGATAAAAAAAGATAAAAAGCTCATGTTCAGGATAAAGTGATAAAGTCATTACTCATTAGTATCTTATTGCTCCTTATCACCCACCATGTACACGATGACAATTCCAAGAATCGATATAATTAATTTTTTTAACTTAAACACATTTTATTTACCGATAATTGTCTCTATCTATCCCCTATCTGTATGACACTAAAATATGGACTTTAACGTTAATTACCATAGTAATACGTCGTTGTAACAATGTTTTAAAGCTTCATTAAATTTAAAGGACTTTCTGGTTTATTTTGAAACCGGCTCTTAAAATTAAATTTACCGCCTGAAATGAGACACATGAACGACATCTACAGTGGCTTCCGCTGGTTGTCCAGAGGTGCCTTCGTTTTGGCAGATAGTAACTGTTACCAGCTATTGACAGCTCAGAGTATAAATTGTTCGATTTTATAAAAAATTGCTGTGCTTGTCACTCAAGGTTGCTCCCCCTTTTTCGCTGATGCACATAAGCACATAACGAATTTTGAATTTGAAAGTCTACTATGCTACATACATCGAAACCGTCCTTAATGTTTGAAGAGACTCAACCAGTTTCACATGTGACGTCATAAATTGAACAAGAAAATATGTTTTAAAGCGTTAAAAATTGACTGTCGAGAAAAATTGCCTTATCGTTAAAAATTCTGATTCTCGGTTAAGGAGGTTATGTTTATAATTGCAGAAAAACAGTAATGTAAAATGAAAATCGACGATAAATGCAAGAATTCCTTAACTCTCGGCCAAAATACAAACGTAATATCGGACATCGTGTACAAGAAACTACTAGAAAATTGTTTTAATATTTTAGTAGGGAAAGAAGCTGTTCACAGTGAGTACAATACTTCAAAATTTCTCGACTATATTCCTTTCTTTTGCAGGTATCAACACTTTATACAACTCTAAACCGGACATCGTAAAGGAATTCTATGCGGCTCTACTAAAAGCGTGCGCCGAATTTGTTAGAAATAATCTCACTAAAGAAGAAATCGTCCAATTCCTAAGTCAGTCCTGCAACTTCACACAATCACGTGCTAACGCTCTAGCAGAATTCACCGATAAGAACAGAGTAGGGGTCGAGTCGAGTTTGGTGAATATCAGTACCACTTTGCCGCACCTTACAGACGTCAAATGGAAGATCGACTATATCGTAAAGGTGGCAATTGCCGGAAGTAGTAATAATGACGCCTATTACATGTATATTTTTTTTAGTCGAATGTTGCGGATGAGTCCGAAGGTCCTATTTTCAGGGTATCTCTGATAGCGGAAGAGTACGATGTAGAAGCGGAGTGTAAAAGATTGAAAAACGTTATTTTTACGTGTACCAGTCAGGAATTGCAGGATTTGGTGTACAAGCTTAAGGATGCGGTGCGGCACTGCACAACTTTGCACCATCGGATTCTGTAAGGATAGGATTTTGTTTATACATTAAAAAACTAATAAAAAAAAAATGCAAGAAATAGTATCTACTGTTTTACTTTCTTCTTATACACTTCTTCGAGTTTTAGTTACAATTAGACTTTGTCTATAATTGTCATGTCGGATTTCTTTAATACGAACTAAAAAAAATTATTTGAAAACATGCATAATCAATCGGTGTTCGTCTACGCCGTCACTGGACAGCTCCTGAGCTCGGTTGTATGTACGAAGTTTTCAGTGTTACCAGTATTCCCCATTATTATCTTTTTAAACCAACCATATGAAAGACATAGCTTTTGTATGATTTTGCGACGTGTTATTTTAAAGTCACCATATTTTTATCATCGAACAATTTTTAAAGAAATAGTAACTGGGATTTTTTTAAAACACTATGTTTCGTTTATAAATCAAAGTGTCAATGACCTGTAGCATTGGTCTAGTTTAAGTGATCTATGGAAATGATTTAAATTCTTATGTTTCTTTATTTTCTTAGTGTCATCTTTGTGCTCAACTTTGCACTTCATTCGATTTTTTTACAACCATGCTTTTACTAACCGTGAATATGCTGATACTCTCTTTGAGCCGCCAGATTATTTCCATTACAGAAACCATAAATTAAATGCATATTGGCATATTCACTAGTAAAGGCATGGTTGTAAAAAAATCGAATGAAATCCGAAGTTGAGCACAAAGATCACAACTAAGAAAATAAAGAAACAAAAGAATTTAAATCACAGCATGCGGAAGTGAAAATCATTAGTTTCGTTACAATGAAATTGTCAGTATGAAAGATGCCTATGTGCAAAATGTTTTAAAAATGTTAACTGTTCTGAGCCATACATTATTTAAAATATAATTATTTCTGACTAAACTAAGCAGAATTGGAAAAAGAGTAGGGACATGTTTCTTCAAAAAAGTCCAATTCACAAAAAAATATTATTTGCTTGATAATTCAAAGGAATAAAAATAAATTTGAAAAATTTCTGTTAAGGGTATAGAAACTATCCTTATTTATAACAGATTTTGATGAAACTTATTAGTCCAGTTACTCAGGGTTTTTACCTCCCAATTCTTTATAACTGAACCGATTGACGTGAAATTTTGACTGAATGTGGAGAATGCCTCAAGGAACAAAACTTATATAGTGCCGAAGTG